GATGCGAAGGAATCCCAAAGAGACATAAGCCCTCAGGATAGAGATCGAAGATGGGAACTGAAAAGAGAGTTAGACGAAGTCATTTTAAGAGAAGAAATTTCTTGGAGGCAGAAATCTAGATGTAAGTGGATTAAGGAAGGAGATGAGAACACTAAATTCTTTCATAACCTAGCTAATGTAAGGAAAAGGAAAAACCTAGTGTCCAAACTGGAAGTGGATGGAATAGTCTTTGATACCCGAGAGAGGATAGCCAATTGTTTTGTTAACTATTTCAAATCCATTTTGATGAGAGACCCCTAAGACCTAGTGTGGAGTTGGAAGGTGTGACCTGGTAGAGGCTTCCAAAAGAGAGTAAAAGCTGGTTGTAAAGGAATTTTGAGGAGGAATAAATTAGAAAAGTCATTTTTTCCATGGATAGATCTAAAGCACTGGAGCTAGATGGGTTTATAATGGATTTCCTTCAAGATTTTTGGGACATAGTCAAAGAAGATTTAATTGAGGTCTTTAAGGAATTTGAGGATAATCCAATGATGAGTTGTGGAATTAATTGTACTTTTTTAGCCTTAATTCCCAAGAAGAAAGAGGCCAAGCATCCAAAGGATTTTAGACCTATTAGTTTGGTGATTAGTGTATACAAGATTGTGGCTAAGGTCTTATCTTTGAGGATAAAAAAGGTGCTTACTTGTGTTATCAGCCAAGTGCAAGGAGCTTTTGTTCAGGGGAGACAAATTGTATATCAGATTCTAATAGCAAATGAATGTGTGGAGGAGATGAGGAGATCGGGGTGTCAAGGTTATGTTTGTAAAATAGATTTTGAAAAGGCCTATGACCTGGTGGATTGGGGAATCTTGTTACTCGTGCTAAGTGTGGGTTTGGGGATAAAAGGTGCAAATGGATAAACGATTGTCTTTCTAATTGCCATTATTCCATCCTAGTCAACGGGGTAGTTAATGATTATTCCTAGCTAGTAGGGGTCTGAGACAAGGTGACTCCATGTCACCTTTCCTTTTCACTTTAGTCGCTGATGCTTTTAGTTAATGATTATCCTAAGGGCTTTGCTCACAACACCTTGGAAGGCTATCTCTAGCATTCTCCCTAAATTCCTCAGTTTTGTAAGGTACGATGCTTGTTCTAGAAACTCCATTCTTTTTCGGGAAGATACTTGGGTGAGAACTCAACTCCTAAAAGACCGTTTCCCTTCTCTTTATTCCTTCTCCCTCTTTAAAGAGAAACCCATTTCATGGTTCCTTCCCCCCCCTCCCCTCCCCTCCCCTCCCCCAGTTTGCCCTTTGGCTTTAAACTTGGATTTTGGGTTTCAAAGAGGGTTAAGGGATGAAGAATTTCTTTGTGTTTCAAAGCTATTGTTGCTTCTAGATTCGGTGTGTTTGGACCCCCTAACCCGGATAAAAGAGTTCCCTAACCCTGGATAATTCCTTCACTTGTGCATCTTTCTTTAAGTTTGCTCCAACCCCTCCTCTCAAGTCTTCCCTGTTAAAGAGGTTTGGTCAAGGCCAATATCCCCCAAAATAGTAATGTTTTGTTGGGAAGCCTATTATGGTAAGATAAATATTGTAGAAAACTTGCAAAATAAAAAAACATTTTATGTGTTTGTCCCCAAATTGGTGCTTTCTGTGTAAAGTGAAGGATGAGGATTGTAACCATTTGTTGATATCGTTCTCCTTTACTGCCGAACTGGTTTGTTTCCTTATTTGGGTGCAGGTGGAACTTACCCTCTGAAGTAAAGTTGTTGTTCACTCCGGCTGCTTTTGGGAGATTGACAAGAAGAGGGAAGCTAATGTGGAAATGTATTAGAGCTGCTACCTTGTTGACTTTATGGAATGAGAGAAATGTTATAATATTTCAAGAATAGGAAAGAAGTCATGCTAAAATCAAAGAATGCATATTGAAGGACTACCTCATGGTTAAAATCTTCACATTTGTTGGTAGATTACTCCTTTGATGACTTGAGGAGAAATTGGGTTGTAGTAGCTTCTACAGTCTCCACCAAGAACAATTCACAAGTTGAATGGAAACCCCCACCAGATGGAGTAGTAAAATTGAATTTTGATGGCAGCTACCAAGGTAACTAAGGGCCATCCGGAATTGGTGGGATTCTGAGAGACAAATACAGCAATATGTTGTCTCTATTTTCAGGACCAGTGGGTGAAGGTGATTCTGTAAGGGCAGAGTTACTAGTAGCGGTACAAGGTATACAAATGGCTAGTCAAATTGGAGTGAACAATCTATTAGCAAAAGAGGATTCCAAGGTAATAGTAGGCTGGCTGAATAGCCCAGAAACAGCTTGTGGGGCTATAGGGATCTGTTAAATAAAGTTAAATGGATGACAAGAAATATGACTGTTAGGTTTCAGTGGGTCAAAAGATAGCAAATGCAATAGCTGATTCTCTGGCCAAGCAAGGGGTAAGGGGAGATCTGTTTTGGGCTACTTTGTAATTGTGTTTCAGGCTTGGGCATGTTTAGTGTATATGGTTCAGTCCTCGGGGAGGTAACATCTCATGCCTCCTCCTAGGTTAATTGTATTTCCGTTATTTGAATTAATAAAACTACTATGGAAAAATTGTATGTCCATTGCATAGACAAGCAAACATAGCCTTAAGGAAAAAAATAGATTTGTAGCTAAAGCAAAGCAATCCTATAAAAAAATTAAGAAACCAATTGAGAAACAAATGGTATATGATAATAAAATTAAGGGCAAATTTCTTAAATTACCCTTACTGTTTAGCTAATTGACAAACTCTACACTTATTGTTAAATTATTGTCTTAAACCACCCTTACTGTTTCTGATAATTGTTTAAAACCTCCTAGCCTAAAGAAAAAAAAAAATTGTATCCTTTATTTTCCTTCAAATTTTCAAAATAAAACGTAAAAGGAGAAATACAAGTTGAGAGAGATGGAATGTGTACATTGAGACACTGCCTTCTACCTCTCTTTGGTTTCACTGCTTTGAAATCACTCTTTGTAAACTTCATTGATCACGGTTGGAACTTGGAAGGTAAAGCCACCGTTGAGAAAGGTAAAATGAAAGGCAACGTTCTGGACAAAAGCATCGGCCTTCGTCAACGGAAGACACTACAGAGGCGGGGGCCGCTGCAAGTGCGAGTGCAGCTGCGGTGTGGCTGTGGAGGACATAGGAAGTTGAAATTTCTGTTAACGGATGAAAATCATGGCTTCGGTTTTGCATAAAAACACCGTGTATTGCCGCAAAAAAAAATCCCATAGAGAAGCCTCAACTTGCGGGGCATCTATATTTGCCTACAACATTCCCATCGCCTACATCTCCAATATGCATGGCTTCCTTGCATCCCTAAGCAACTGCTGGTTAGTGGGCTCCGCTCTAAAATGACAGATGGATGTGGGTTTCTATTATGTAACCACGCGACAAGCAACAAACAACGATTCCGTGGAGGGATACAGACAAACAAGGGATTGGGAACTTCCTTGACTCTGATTCAGTGGAGGGATAAAAGAGAAACAGATTGGGAAAGTGGTGGAGGGATAAAGACAAACACCTAGATGACATCCGCCATTTTCACGACTCTTATTCCAACAAGAACTTCCTTGGCTTTCGATCAGATTTCTATATTAGCAGGGTCCATTAGCAAAGAGTAGATAGAAAATAGAACCTTTCTGCAAATCCTCGAGTTCTTTCGATATAAGTTTCAACGCCATGAGAACCTCGGAGGAAATTAGGGATTTCCTTTCGTGAGTGTGAGTGTCGGAATATGGCTCACAGATCAAAGGTGATGTTATATTGCCTTCCAGACAATTTGGACGATGTAACTGCTGTGAGATGTAAGAGCATGTATTCATGAGCTGGCTTTGTATAGGAGAGCTTCAACGGCTGGTGATGAGCTTAACGATAAGTGTTCGACTGACTTCAAGCACTTGCCATGGATACAATTGCTCTGACCGTGGCTTCCTAATTTCAATCTAGGGATGGGATGCAATGATTGGCAATGGTTGCTCGGTTATAATGGGGGTGGCTTGTTGGTTTGTAGTGTCGCCTAAGTAAGGCCTGATAATAGAAGGAATTGGATCAATTCCGTCTCAGAATGAGTTGTCAGGAGGCCAGACCGTGAAAAGCGACAGTAGCAGGGGAAGGAAAAATCGAAAAACAAGGAGAGAGAGAGGAGATCACGATGGGAGATGAGTTGTAATGGTGGGTCGGTGGTCGGTGCTCTGTATCAAAGAGACAGAAATCGGTGGGGAGAAGAGAAGCAAAATGAAAATAGTAGAAAAAAATAAAAAAACAACAGAGAGAGAGAGAGAGAAGAAAACAGACGAGAACGAGAAGGTTGTTACCGAATCTGCCGTTTCAACAAGTTACAGCTGTAATGGCGGAAGTGAAAGGAGGGGGAAGGAGAAAGAGAGAGCAGAGGAGTGTGTTCAGATCCGCCATTATAGTGAGCTTGAATTCGTTAATAGACAGATATCATTGCACCGAAGGGGTTGGTTTTTCAATGGAATTAATGACCACCTCTGATCCTTGACCCCTGAAATGAATCTCTTTGATCCTCTCCCTCTGTTTGTATATTATAGCAGCTCACCCTCACTGGGTTTTGAGATGTTTCAGAAATAACTCTTTTTTGGTTTTGAATCTCTCACCATTCCTAGAAAACATGGGCCTTTCAGAAATATTTCTTTGTTGGGTTTGAATCTCCAGCGATGCCTCAATTAGCAGCAATATTTCGGAAAGTATTAATCGTTTTAGTTCTCATCAAAGAGTTTGGAGGATCACGGTTCCGTGCTGTAACCCCATCAGCTACCGATGGAGTCGACTTATGCGACAGGGCAGTTTCGGAAATTTTGAAAAATATTGATGGCACATGTGACTGAATGTGACGGAAAGTTAACGGTAAAGGTACTCTAAGATAATTATCATAAAATTTAAGGGTAATGTTATTCAATTAATTAAACCGTAAGAGTAGTTTAAAAAATTTGCCGTAAAAAGAGATGTTTTTCAGTATTAAACAATTAATGCCCATAAACTTCACAAAATTTATTGATAAATCTCAGAAACATAGGAGAAAGACCAAATTGGAGAGAACTCATCAATTGAAATACATGACCATCTGAATCTCCTTCCGTTTAAACCCACACTTCTCATAGAACCCCTTGTTCTCAACACTGCAATCAAGGATCACCTTATAACATCCTGCTGATCGAGCATGATCTGTGAGAAAGCCAATAATCTTTTGCCCTAATTTCATCCCTCTAGCATTTGAATCAACAACTACATCTTCTATGTGCCCTACCTTTCCACAGTTCCGTAAAAACTTCTTCTCCACGAAGACACTCCCTGTTGCAATAATTTTTCCTGTTTGATCATCTTCGATGACCGCAATAACATGGTCATCACCATGAGAACTGAGTTCTTGAAACCGTGCATTAAATTCCTCATCAGAGACAGAATCACAAACACTTAATTGTTGCAAGAGCTGAATGAAACCTTTATTATAGTCAGAGATCTGTAGCCTCCGAACTTGGAGTTGTTCTTCTTGACTAGAACACCCGTTTTTCATTTTATGCATAGGACGATAACAGCTCTGGCTTTCTAAAGATATGAGATCAAGCTGCAAGGAGTAACATATGAAAAAAATGAGAGAACTAATATTACCAATCTTTTACAGATCAATGAAAGGTGCTAGAGATAAGAAAGCGGAAAGAACTAGAACGATTTGTAGATGAAGATAACATAGATAAGAAGAAAAAAAAGGAAAAAAAAAAGAAGGTGACACAATTTCTGAATAATCAATAGATTCAAAACAATTTCTGAAGATAACAAAGACAAGAAAACGGCAGTGGGGTTGTGTAGGTACTGGGGCTTACAGGGGTTGGTTCGGGAAACCAGCTCCATCGGCTCTCCTTCTCCCTCCCAGATCCCAAACTTAGCATAACAAATTCAGAATAATTAACCCCAGAAGCGGGCTTACCTGGACTGTGTGGCCTGAAATCGATCGTCTGGACCGGGGATATCGCAATCTGATTTGTCTCCGATTATCTTCGCTGTACTAAGAGGAGAAACACCCACGAGTGATGGGTACTGCCGTAGGTTCTGATCTCATTTAGGCATAAAAATGAACGCTGCAACTGGGTTTGTTTTAGATTGTTTTCTCGAGTGATGGTGGGAATGGAGAAGAAAGAGGGAAGTAACGAGATAAATTAGAGAGGGGGGAGAGAGGGGTGCAGACTGGGCTCGAAATGAGGATACCGCCGCTGTTAGGAGTTGCAGCGGCGGTTCGTAGAAACTACAGAGACAGAGGAGGGGGCGGTGATATGCGGAACAGAGGAAAAGTTATGGGTGATGGAGAAAAGAGATGGGAATAGCGGAGAGAAAGAGAAGAATCAGGGAGAATGATCGGAGGTGGAGGGGGTTTTTTCTTGATCCAATCTGCTGCAAGTTGCAGCGGCAAAGACAGAACAGGGGAAGCATGAAAAGAAGAAGAAGAAGAGAAGAAAGAGGGAGGGAACGGAAGGCCGGAGATAGGGGTTGCCGCCGCTTCGCGGCTGGTTCGGTGTTCGAATGAAGGGGGGGAGTGAAAGACTCCGGATCACCTGCCCAACACATTACCCCCGTCAATTGGGGTAGGGCAATTTTATAATTTCAGGAAATATTGGGGTATTTTGATAAATTTAGGCAAATTGGGTTAAATCGTGCTTTGGAATAAAAAAAATAGAAGGTTGAGATGAGTAGTTAGTGATATTAGTCGAAATGAAATCTTTTTAGATGGAGGGGTAAATGAGGGTATTTTTTGCTCAAATTTCACAAGGTAGGGTTTTCAGACATCATGAGTTGATTGATGGGGTTAGATTGGCCCTGATGGTGCGCAATTCGGCCGGTCTTAACTGTCAACGACCTTGTCTCTGAACGGAATTGTGGGGAACCTGAAATGGAGAAGATGATGAAGCTCCGGGGGGAACTCGATGTGAAGGCACCGAAGCTCAAGTTAGAATACTTCAAAGGCAAGATAAAACCAGATAGCGCAAAGTTTGCATACCTTGTTCTTGGGGGTAGGGGGCCTTTTATAGCCACCTCATGCACTCACTCCTAAGCTTCTGTCAGGTCGGGTACGGTTACCTCTGGTCTCCTGCCAGTTCGGGTGCCATCCCCGCTACTGGTCAGAACCGCCACTGCTTCCTTTTGTCGGAGCCGTCTCTGCGACTGGCGATGACGGCGGCAAGTGGCGGTGGTAGGTGACCGTTGAAGTGCGGCTGTCAAGCGTCAGATCCCAAGTCAGTCAAATGCGTCGCCCCTTGGATACGGACCTCCTCGGTGTCAGGTATGGTACGTTTGTTCAGTTCGGCGTCTCGGAGCCGAAGTGCTAGAGTGGCGAACGAGGTGAAGTCTTGAGTTCGGATAGGGGAGTGTCCCGAACTGCCATGAGGCGGGCCAGTTCGGGTCACTGCCTTGTGTGGCTCGGGGCCCAAGGGAGAGTTCGGGCTCCTCGTAGGGAGGTCGGGCTCCTCGTAGGGAGTTCGAGCTCTTAGTAGGGAGGTCGGGCTCCTCGTAGGGAGTTCGAGCTCTTAGTAGGGAGGTCGGGCTCCTCGTAGGGAGGTCGGGCTCCTCGTAGGGAGTTCGGGCTCCTCGAAGGGAGTTCGGACTGYTGGTTTCTTTCCTTTGGTGCTTGCGCCCTGGGTACGCTGCTTTAAGTGCCGAACTATTTGTTTTTTCCATGTGGAGTGATTGCGAGGTCGGGCCAAATCTTCCTTCATCAGAACCAACTGGTCCGAATTGGTTAAATCTGGAAAGGGTTTTATTAGGTTAATCTATTGTATTGAAATGGAACCTTTGAGTGATCAAGAGGCAAACAAAGGCAGTTTTGGGTACAATTTCACAGATGGGTATTTGGAGGTATCCGGGATCTAATGGTGATGTCTGATTATTCTTGGAGGGTAAAGATCGTAGGAATTTGGGTTACCGGGATATTCCAAAACAGAATCTTGGTTAAATAAGGGAATCTGTGGTTGAAACTTTATAGGTAGGTGTTTTGATGTATCCGGAGTTCAATTGTATGTTTTGATCGGTTTGGATGTGTCAAGTTCAAAGGAATCTGGGTTCCGAGTGTTTAGTCTAACGACAGGCGTCAAAACAAAATCTTAGTTTGATGGAAGAGTAAATGGAGGAATCTTGAGCTGAAATTTTATGGGTAGGTGTTTTAGGAGGTCTTGGGTCTGATGGTTGTGTCTGATTTAATGGTTGAGGTACAAGTGGGGGTTGATAGGGGCCATCAAAAAGGTATCGGGTAGGTTTAATAGTGGATCTGAGGGCTTTCGGAAGGATCGAAAGCGTCTGATCAGGAATTTGGGGTGAATTAGGGTACATGCGATGGACCGAGCAAAAAATTGGGTGCTGACATCATCGTAGACCTATGGTGTGGATTGTGTCGTGCTAGCATGTTATGGATTGAAGGTGTGACATAATGGGCTAGCCCTTAGGCCTTGGCATGCCATGTCGGGTCCAACACTCCAACTAGGCCTTTTTTTTCTTTTGTAGTTTTTCTGAACTAAGAAAAAATCTAAAAAAATAAAAATATATAATAGTATAAAATTAACATGAATAATAGATAATAAATTGGAAAAAAACTTGTCAAAAAATTAATCCATTTGAAATTTAATGTGTACAAAAAAAATACATTGAAAAAATAATACAATAGAGATGAATTAATAAAATGATAAATTTGAATATAAAAATTACAATGGGATTGGGTCATGGTTTTCAAAACCAGACCGAACCGGATGGTGGGACCGGAAAAATTGGGGATTGCTTCCGTTTTACCCCAGAACCGTTATTTCGCCAAAAACCATTGATTTGGTCAACAAACCGCTGACCCAAGCATTTGAATTGTTCAATGGTTTGGTCGTTTTTTATTTTTTGTCAGAACAGACCATCCGTTCGATTCGAACAGTCATACCATTCGACCTGGGAACCGGACCCCTGACCAGTTCGTTGTCTGATTTGGTTTTAAAAACCTTGGATTGGATTATTGGAAAACGTTGCAAATAATTCTAAAATAAAATCAAACATAAAAAATTACAATACAAAAAATATTGCATTCAACACTTTTTTAAGTTCCACCTCCATTACCTGCATCTAGTGAACTATCAATTGAGGTGATATGTCCTCCTTTGTCTTGTAGTCTATCTTTTGCATCTAGCCAATCCTTCAAGTAAATGCACATCTCCAAAGAATGATCATTCAAGTTGCTCCTCTTCTCATCCAAAAACCAGTTGCCTACAAAAAATAAGACCCTAATGCAACTATTGACACCAGAGGGGTTAATATAACAAGTTCCATGGTTGAAAGAGTTGGATTTTTTTTTTCATTTTTCTCTCAACCAAGCTAAAACATCAACTTTGTTTGCTTCCTCCAAACCATTGTTTTCAAAACCGGACCGGACGGTCAGACCAGAAAAATTGGGAACCGTTCAGGTGATCGGTTCCATTTCCCCCCAAAACTGGATTTTCACAAAAGACCGTTGATTTTGGTCAGAAAACCGTTGAACCGGCAGGTTAACCGTTCGAACGGTTTTGACTATTTTTTTATTTTTTAAACTTTTTTATTTCTTTTGTTAGAACGGGCCAAGCATTCAATYCAAATGATCGGACCATTCGACCTAGTAACCGGACCCCTGACGGGTTCGGTCTCCGGGTGGGTTTTAAAAACCATGCTCCAAACTGAGGTAGTCAAACATACTTGATTGTTGCAAATACAATGAAGTTCACTAAATGATGAACTTTATGAAGAGGTGGCAATTGATTGTTAGCTTCCCCTACTTATTATTGACAAAATTTTATTTCACTACCACTTTTACGCGGTGTGATTGTTGAATTTTGCTTATTTCCTATTGAACTTTGAGATTCATACATTTCATACATCTAAAATAATAAAGTATTAACTTTATCTTTTTTGTTCTAATTTGAGTTATCATATTTGTATGATAAAGATCAAGTAAAACATCTAAACTTGATTTTTTAAAGGAAAATTCCACTTTAGTACCCTGAACATTGGGGGCAGTATTATGTTAGTACCCGAACTTTCAAAAGTGACACTACAATACCTAAACTTTTAAAAAAGTATCAAGTTTGTCCTTGTCGTTAACCTACCATCAGTTATCTATTGAAAATATCAAAATTACCCTCCAAAAGAAGGCATTGTTCATTGTCTTCTACTTTGAGATTAAACCGGTTGAGATGTTTGAGGTTCTAGACTAATGAAGTCATTGTCTTCTACCCTTAAATCTAAAGCACATTCTTGTCTAGTTATTTCTTTACTTTTAGTTATTGTTTCCCTCTATCATATTTCATGTTTTTTCTCTCTTTTTCTTTGAAGATAACCAGTTCAGTCACAAGGTAGAAAACAATGAACAATGTCTTCTTTTCAAAAGTGAACTTTTGAAAGTTCGGATACTAACTTGACACTACCCCCAAAGTTCAAGGTACTAAAATGGAATTTTCCCTTTTTTTAATTCTAAGGTCAAAAATTGCAACTAAACAATATAAATGAGAAATATTTTTTCCAACATTTTTTAAATTTTATTTTCAAAATTTCAATAGTTTGTTGAAATTGTGGAACATTCCTATATTTTGAAAAGACATCACTAATTATAAATAATTGATTAACTAATACACATGAAGTAGGATACCAAACTCTTGAAAAATAAATTAGTTCGTCATAAAAAAGTTTGTAAAAAAAATCTTTTATACAAATTGTAATTTCCCAATCTTCATAGTTGTGCAATCATTTGGCATTTTTTTACTATAAAAACTTGTTAAAACATGTTCATATGTTAAACAAATTTCTAACATAAAATATGTTGAATTCCACTTATATTGTACATCTAATACAAATATTTTATATTTTTTACATATTAGTGACATAAATTTTTAAATTATTGTTTTCTAACCCCCTGAAGTTCTAATATACATAATACAATTTCTAACTTTATTAATATGGGGTGAAATAAATTCTAATGCATCTTGTACACATAAATTTAATATACAACATGCACACCTAATACGAAATAAATTTTCATTAAAATTTGTTTTAATTGATTTTTTAACATATTTATTGCAAAATTGTTATTAGTGTAGCATTATCAAAAGTAATAAAAAAAATTATTTTTCAATTTTATATTCATATAAAATTGCAAATTCTAATCTTGATCAATAAAACTTAAATATATGTGCATTTCATATAAAATGGTTTGGCATTTTATATGCACATTGGCTAAAGTCATAACATTGGCAATGACATTTGATCAATATATGTGCAATGGCATATAACATTAGCCAATGTATGGCCATTTGATCAATATGTATGGTTTGGCATACGCTACAAGAGACTATGCTCCTCCATACTAGGCAAGGATGATGTCAATTATCATCTCTTACAACTGCTTCACAAAGAGTGAGGCAATAATGACCTGTCGTGTTTCTAGTTGAATTCCTTGCATGTGTTGCATATGATGATGTTGATTTGTCTAATCTTCAACATGAAACTCTAAGGGTAAATCCAGGAGGGCATGAAGAATTTGTAGTCTGCACATGTTGAACCTGCTCTAAACAATTCATAAGCAAGACAA